AATTATGAGGAAAATCAGATTTTTATCTTCTGTCCAAACAGAAATTACTGCAATTGCTCTTTTTATGCAGCTTCAGCAGTAAAGACTGAGTCAGGATAGATTCACAGAGCTATGGCAACTCTTGAATGCACATCCCAGGCAATCACTCTTCTTTGATAGAAAATGACTGTAAAGATGCCTGTACACAAGAAAAACATAGATTTCTTTTATTCCCAGAATTCTGCTGAATAAAAGAAATCTTCAGATAACTGAAGTAGTTTCATTTCTCTCTGATTTAGCTACAGTGAGCTTCTGTTAATATATTATTGTAGTTAAGCTGACACAGAGCAATCAGGGCTTGCTCCCTTTCAGAAACTACAGGTCTGATGTGCTGATAAATCTTTTTATGTTTTTTAAATGAACAAACTAAAATATTGCTTGATTTTGATTGACAGACCACAGAAGAGCATGTGTGCTCCTTATTGCTTTCTATTTTCTAATTTCAGCTTTGACAAATAAGGAGTCCAATACAAAACCAAACATTCAAAAAAATGGTAGAAAAATATCAAACCACTTCAGACATTCTTTCCTCATACATTGATACCATAGGAACAAAACCTTTTTCCAATTCTACATTTTTAGCGATTGGTGACAACAGTAATAAATCCCCAGCAGTTTTTCCTTATCTAGCTACATCTTATATAAGGCACCCAGAGAGGGTGCAGCCTCTCCACTTGTGGAGACATTCCAGATCTGAGCAGACACAGCTCTGGGTAATCTGCTGTAACTCAGGATTCTCTCAAGATCTAGTCCACCAGGATTGGACTAAATGATCTCAAGATGCCAACTCCAACCTCAACCATTCATATATATAACTAGTTTGCACAAAAACAGGCACAAAAGAACTATGGAAAAAAATGTACTTAATTTCAGCATTTCTAAGCAGCCTTGTATTAAATAAAAATGGACTATTCCTCCTCATCTACTTCAAACTCTAAATTCCAAATGCCTGTGAGATGAAAGACTTTGCCTGTGTATGATTTAATCCTTCATTCTTCTGACTAAGTGTCCAGAGCATTTTACTAAGCACTGCTACAGACTTTTTCAATGAGGCTTCAAATTCAGGTTCTGCTTGTTCAATGAAGGAAAGTTAAGAGGACTTGACAATTTACATCAGACATTTTCTTCAACGATCTTTAATAAATTTTTGCCCTAAGAAGATTATGTCAGTTCTGTTATCTTTAATTTGGCTAATTTTCTTGTTTTCTGTGAACAGTGATGGCCTCTTTCAACATAAAGGGCTTTTAAAGTCTTGTAGTGTACAGCAGCTTTTGAACCAAAATGCAGCTACAGGGAAGTACATATATGAAGGTCCATGTACTTTCTCAACACTCTCTAATGTCAAGAGAGAATGATTCTTCAATTTTTAGAGCCTGCTTTACTCCATGATGACTCTTGTTTGCTTGCTGCCATCCCCATATCTTGACCAGAACTGTCTAGGTGAGCACTATCTTTAATAATCCACTTTTAACAAAATTGTACATCACCTATCTCCCCAAAATGGAAGTAAACACGTACATGACACATACAAATCCTATGCTGCACTTATCCAGATGTCCATATATTTACTACTTGGAAACTGAAATTCAAATGAAGGACCTAAAATGATTTCACACATCAAGAAATATCAAAGAATACAAGACTGTAATGCTGAATTCTCCCAACAGTTAGCATGAAATGTACTACCTTTCACATCTGCATCGTAAGAGATACTTGCCTCACTTTAAACAGTTATATTACTATTTAAATTTAAATATCCTATATTAACAGCTTCATCATTGTCACCAAAAGGAATACTAATTTTTCAGGAATCTCATGAAATTTCAAGATTAAAGCCATTCTTCTGTTTTAGAAACCCCTGCATGCAGTACTACTGTCACTTCCTCTGCTGCAACTAAACTGAACTCTCTACAAACAGTAATAAATATGATGCTACTACACTTACATATTAAGCACTTATCTCCTCCTTCCACACTTTCTATAGAAATTGGCATTTATGTAAGTAAAAAAATAAAAATCACAATCTCTATTGCAAGAGGCAGGAGGGATTTTAAAAACAAATTACATGTTTTTTTTGCCAATAAGCAAACACATTTGGACAGGGAACTGATGCTAGTAGGTACAGATGGTGAAACAGCAGCAACACTCAATTTCTCTGTAGTCACAGTCTGCAGACTCACTGATTTTAGGATTTTCTGCCTATATTACACAACTGAGTCTTCCCTATTTGCAATCAGCTTTAGTGTAGATTTGCATATGAATTCTGTTATAATTGATGGATTTCTACAAAAATAAAACAAACTAAAAAAAACCCAAACAAAGCCTACAAAACCAAACATAAAACAGAACAAAAAACCCCAAGCCACAAACAGAATAAAAAAAATAGAAGAGACTACAGATTTTCTGGTAAGACTTGTGTTTTTTTTCCTTTTTCCCCCTCGTGGGCAGGTCTAACTCAGGTTTCCATTTTATAACAATGTTCTAGTTTCTCTCTGCCAGTTTTAAACTCTTGTAGTGATCTGTAATAAACAACATTCTGGCACAGCTTTATTTTCAGACAAATCCCTCTAGGGAACAGTGTGATTTAACATGAAATGTGTATCCCATCCTGCTCCTTTCTGTAATCTACTCAGACGAAATGGGGATAAGGAATACTTACTTCACACAAATTAAATTGAGATGTTTTGGCCAAATTTGAACTCCAGTGGAGGTATTTGAAAATGTTACCTATAATCTTACTTTAGTCTCCCAAGTCTGGCTAATAAAAACTTCAAACTTCTCCTGTTTACCACTGCTCCAGTTTCTGCCTCCAAATCCATTTTGCTTAAAACAGAATATTGTCAACCCTATAACCAAACCTAAAAATTGAACTAGATACTGGATAGTTTCTTGAAAGCTTTCTGAAAGAAAAAGTAGGACTGACAAGTCGCATTTATGATCTCCGTCTTAAAGAGGACAAGAATAACACATATACTTGTTTGTCTCTGAATGGCTTTAGCTGGCTGAGTTATACTTTCACAGAGAAAAGATTTGTACAGATCCAATGAGGCCTCCCTCTGAAAAGAAAACTACCTGAAAGCGTGCAACCATACAAGAGGGAGAGTAAAAATTATTCAAAGAAAATTCTTTAAAATGTTTCATACTGGAAACAGAATATCTAAGTAAATATCTAAGTAAAAAACCACTTATGTGCTTCAGAACATAAGTAGAGTTCTATTATTTTTCGTGCCACAATCACAGAATCACAGAATCATAGAATTTTAGGAGTTGGAATGGACCTTATAGATCACCTAGTCCCAATCCCCTGCCCTGGGCAGGGTCACCTCCCACCAGACCAGCCTGCTTAAGGCTTCATCCAGCCTGGCTTAGAACACTGCAAGGTTGGGGCAGCCACCACGTCCCTGAGCAACTTGTTCCAATGTCTCACCACCCACCCTTACAGTATAAAACCTTTTCCTAATATCGAACCTAAACTTCACCTCCTTCAATTTGAACCCACTACCCCTTATCCTATCACTGCAGTTCCTAATAAAGAGTCCCTCTCTGGCTCCTTTCTAGGCCCTTCAGGTATTGAAAAGTTGCTCTGAGGTCTCCACACAACCTTCTCTTCTCCAGGCTGAACAGCCTCAACTTCCTCAGCCTGTCCTCACAGGGGAGATGCTCCAGTCCTCTTATCAACTTTGTGGCCTCCTCTGGACTTCCTCCAAGAGTTCCATGTCATTTTTACGTTGAGAGCACCAGAACTGTATTCAGTATTCCAGTGGGGTCTCATGAGAGTAGAGTAGAGGGGGAGAAATATCTCTTTAGACCTGATGATGGAGCATTCTAGAAATAACATGTCAAGCTTCTTCATTGTACAATGAAAACTCTTAATAACATCTTCAGCAAGTTGCAGGTATCTACACTAATATTAGTTTATAAATGCAGTTTTATGCTTTAACAGGATTATGAAGTAAAAATTAGGATTTCATGTTATAGTAGTGGAATGTATTCACACAGATTGGAGTCAGAAGTTTGCTTTCCTATTGACCTCTTAAAATCTTTTCTTATCAGTGGAGATATTCGTTGTTTGAGGAAACAGATTTGAGATTTCCCATCTACCTGGGAATTGTTGTTCTTTCAGAATTGTACTCACTGCATTTTTAATATTTTAAATATGAGAAAAATAAGGTGGTTCTTGCTCTGTGTGGTAGGTATCTAATTTTTCCTGAGATAAGAGAGCTTGGTTTCTGGCATAACAAATCATAAAACTTATCTAAATTATTTCCTTCTTCAAAGTCAGTAACCACTGTGAACTAGAAAAAATGGTCAGAAGGGTATCTGAAGTTGAGTGAGGAATATGAAACAATTTCAAAATTAATTACTCTCATTTTAAAATCTGTATGCTTTGTCTCTATTCTGTAGTCATCAAACTTCTCTTTTTAGTCTATAGGTACAGTTATACCCTTGGCTGATAGACAGTAGAGCTTTGTTATTCAATTTCTATGTTCTGATCAAGTCACATCTCTGATAATCTAGACAAAATGACCACATCATATTATTTGTTATAGCACAGGATTTTCAGACTTGAAGACTGCTAGAAGCTTTACACATCAGATAGTCCTTTCTTATATTTCCTTTGTCTTATCATAATGTATTCTGATTTATGATGATATAGAATTGTGTCTACTAAAAATGATTCACTGATAATGATATTTCCATTAAGTCAAACCCAATAGCTCACAGAGGGGTTGGATAGTCAATTAATAAATGATCAAGTTCTTAGGGAGAGGAAGCATTGAGCATTCTCTATGCTAAGTCATTCAATTATATAGTATAGGTGCAACTGCATCCTTCCCTCTTTCTCTCTTCTTAAAAGATCATATTTCTGCATTAAATACCTGCTAGCCCAAAAGAGAAAGTTAACAACTCATAAACTGATGTAAAAATTTAACAAAACAAATAAACTACAACAATTGTACCTGCAACTACTGGAGATTTCCTATCATCCAGAAGCTGAATAGCAGTACTGGCTGTCACTACATTGCTCTTGTTTGAGGTTTCTGCAGGGTGTATTAAAGAAAAAAGAAAAAGGGTTGAAACAATAAATTGCAGAATGAGGAAATTTCCCTCCCTTGTTTGAAATAACAGTCTACATAGATTTAATGCTCAGAAAATAAAACAGTGACCATCATGTTCTGTATGCAAGCACAGAACATACAGGCACTGCCATTTTAAATTCCCCACCATCCCAAAACCAAGATTAAACCACTGAAATGCGTCACCAGGATTTGCCTCCTATGCTAAAGGCATCAACAAAGGTGACAGCTGGTAGGGCTTCTCATTAATGTGGACATTTGCTTTGTTGGATTTGTCTTGCTTACAATACTAGGCTGTACATTCAATCTGTGCAAATATTAAATTAAAAATGTTATACCATATCTTAGAGTTTCACTTGGTGAAAAGGGATACTTGGTCAAAGGACCAGTAAAGTAGCTACAAATTTTGATGCATACTGCAGATTAACATTTGAGATTACCTACAGACCCCACTCAGTACTGACATTCCTGGAATCCTTCCAGCATCATGTATGGCTCAGAATTTAGAGAATGACAAAATTATAGACCTGTGCTGAATGGGATGGAATAGACAAAGCTCCCAGGTATTTGCTCAGCAGCTCTTCTGTACCAGAGTGGAAAATGATCAGCATTAAAAATGTTCTCCTTATCTTCAGCTGTCAGGAAGTCTCTTGAGAAAACAGAGGGGAAGAAAACACTTGTTTGTTGCACAGCACACAATAGTTTCTAGCTTTGAAAGACAAGAAAAAGCAAAATTCAATCTTTTGGGAAAGTAAATGGGTTTGGACAACTTTTCTAATACCATTTGTTCAATAAAAGGGTTAAATTTAGACCCTAATAAATTATTTGTGACACACTTACAATCACTTTTGTTGTGAAAGATGGAAAAAGTACTAAAACACACTAAGTATCTAAGAAAAATAAAAACTTTTTTCTGACGTGTACAAACATATGCTTAGCCTAGAAAGCCTTTAAATTTCAACACAATGTAAGAACTATGAACTATACAAGATGGAAAAAGCACTGGAGATTTGGTAGTCTGTTGCCACTGGCATTCACTCTTAAGTATTGAAAAAAAAAGTAATTTTACAGCCAGCTTTTCAAATAAGATGTAAGGGGTGCTACTGGACAACTACATACTTTATTCCTCAATAATTTCAGGGAATGTTGACAGGAAAATTTGTGTCAAGTGAGAAGAGCAAGTACAGTGTCCATGCTAATGTTCTTGTTTGCTGTCTGACAGTAACAAATTGCAGTGCTCTCGATCTCACCTGTCAGGCTACTTGCACTACAACAATATTTGTGGTCAGATAAGCACTGTATAATTTTGTATTCAAAAAGCTTAGTTTATAATAAACACAAAGTGCAGATTTTCTTTTGCATGCATAATATCTCCACTAGATTACATCTTCTCCAAGCAAAATAGGAAATTCTTATATGATGAGATTTCCGGATTACTCTTTCACCCAGTCCATTTCTGTCACTTGGTTTTATTTCAACACCAAAAATATTTTCCACAACAATGATGCAAAATCCCTGAAAAAGTCTACAGATATTTGTCTTCAGGTAGGATAGTAAAAAAACCCTGTCATCTGCAGTGTTGCATATTCATAAATCTGCTCTCAAAAATAGAAGTGTGAGGGTGGAACTATGTGTGCAGGGAAGCAATCACATGGTACAAAGTAGCTCATTGTTCCAAAAGTTCCAGTTGAAGAAAGAATCTAAGGGACCCTATGAAATCTTTCTAACTTGTTCTATGTGAACTAACTTGTTATTTTCTTACATGGCTGTCAGGCACAGGTTTGTTACTTACTGATTAGTAAGCTGTTCCGGCCCCACAAACAGGTTGATGCGAGATAGTCCAGTCCGAGTTCCAAGGAAGGCAACTTCCACTCCCTTGTCAGAGTTTCTGAAATAAAGCAGAACACAAGCAAAGATAATGCTTCCAGACAGTAAACAGATAAATCTATATTACTGGTCACGGAAAGTACAAGTGTACACATTTTAGAGAAAGATTATTTTAAGCATAGTTCCTTTATTTATTGATTTATCTTTAAATTCTGTTTTTTAAGTTACAGTCATGTGGATTTTGGATAACGTATTATGCAGAAATGCTATTAACCAAGAATCATTAAAAAGGCAAAGACAGCAAATTTTGTAGGATTTGTAGGGAGAGATTATATGGAGGACACAGAATAAAAAGGTGTGGTACCCAGTGATTCTGAGATGGGCAGGAATTTCAGGTCTTGCTCCCAGTCCATTCAACACTTCTGCGGTACATCTATGCTTCAAGTCATAAGTCTGACTGTTGCTCAAGCAGACAAAAACTAAGCTGGATTTAAAACAGGTAGCTGAGAGTCAAAGATAGCTGCCATCACATTAGGCTTTAGCCTCTAGAACTTGGAAAAAACTGTGGCAGGTAGCTCAGGCTGAACTCTGTTACTGCATTGTTATCAGAACCAAGCTAATCTAAAATGAGTTCTTGTATGGCTACAAGAGCTTCAGCCACATTACCACAAAAACAGGGACCACAGCCATCTTGCTGTTTCATACTTCATTCTTCAATAAGTTTCTTGTCTCATTAGTGTAAGTCAGAATATGAAAAGGGATCAAAAGTCTCCCACTAGCATCATTCCACAGCTGTCTTCCTCATGCTTGCTGGATCTGTAATTTCATTTTGTAGGAGAATTCAAAGAAATCTTACACCTCTCTCAAAATTCATCTGTGTCTACAGTATATTAGCATTCAAGAATTTCTTATCTTTGTCTTCTAAGAGAAGACTGGATAATTCTTAGTTTCATGAATCAGATCTTATCATATTAATTTTACTCACTCAGTATGAGTATGTGCTGTACAACAACACATTTTTTTCATTCAACTTTAAAAAACTGGATGAAATTTACCAAAATCTAATCAGGACAATGCCTGTTTTCTCTAATATATATAACAACTTGCTACTTAACACCTTAGGACATAACTATAACATAAATGAATTAAGTAAAAGATATAAACTCAGAAAAGAACCAGATGATCTCCTGATTATCCTTAACAGGAACATAAATCTCAGTTAGTTCTGGAAAACAACCAAACCAACCAAACAAAATGATTAAAGAAACTATTTACCAGTGCAAGATTTTTTTCTGTATGTAACTTGTTAAAAACACTCAGAATTGTAAGCTGCAGTTAGCATATAATTGCATTAATTTTATTGTGGAAATTGGCTAACCTTACAACTAATCATGATGATGTATGCTGCAACATAGACACTTAAGATTGAACTCAAAATTGGTGGTTCATAGGATAAAACATAATATTTTCATGCACATCGGGATTTGGTAGGTATTCCACCAGTTCACTAACATAACTATTAAAAATACACCATGACTGATACATAATGATTGACACAAAGCTTGCTTACTCTGATTTATTCAAAGCTAGACTGGTCCAATAAGCTTCAATTGGTGCACTCACGACTGCATCAAACAGAACTTCCTGGATCAATTCTTTATCACCTATTACAATATATTAAAATCAGTACATGTATGTGCATATAGAGAGAAATTATTTTAGATTACTAAACAACAAGTACTATATTTTATCTGTGATGTGCTTTAAAACTTTTTGCACTATGAAGCATTTGTTAGCTAATATTACATGGTATTTTAATGCAATGCAGTTTTTCATATATAATTTCATTGCTTTAACAACAATTTTAGATTAAAAACCAGAGAATTATGTACATATTATCTAATGCTCACATTTGCACATGACATAAGGTCAACACAAGTAGGTCTACTAACAGTCACTAAAGCTCTACATTTCTGCAAATAGAATATGCACTTATCCATCTGAATTTTTTAGTCTGATTTGCAGTTCAGAAATGCTAATTGCATACACATCCCTAAAATACTCATGAAATATCTGTTATACTCTTTAGAGGCATGATCCAAGGATCAATTCAGGCCAATCCTGCTTAGCTTATAAAACCAGATGGAGCAATAGTATTGCATAGTATACCTACACCATCTGAACAGAAACTAGAATGTTTGGTTCAGGCATATTGTTTACCATAAAAGTCAGAAATTTGTATCATCAATATCTTTATTGATACCCTGGTAAAAGTTCAAACCAAATGACCCTCCAAAGTAATGTCAAACAAGCAATCTGATCTCAAATTATCACAGGTTAAACTAAGCAGCTTTGCATTTTCTAGAAGGTTCACAAAGGCTTTTTAGCTGGGGCAAAACCTACTACATGCATGTTTAAGAAAATACTTGCATTGGAGCAAAGGCTCTTTTCCTGTGAGGTAGCGTTTAATTGCTTCTAACTGAGTCATTTGACGGTGTTGAGGATGTAAGTCAGTGTTGCAGTAGGACCTGTGAACACGTCGTCAAAACATTAAAATCTTAATATGTATAAGCATGATCTCTCTTTGTCTTTGAACATAAAGAATTGGGCTCTGCAAGCACAAACAATATGAAACCAAGAAGGGTAACAGACACCAATTTCATGCTTTATTTAAGGCTTACCATTCATCTGCTAAAGATACATCAGGGTGTTCTAAATCATGTAAACCTGTAACAGCAATAATAATGGGTTATTTAGGGAGCAGTCTGGGTAACAGATGGTTATTTGCATACACTCCATAACATAAACCCTTCTTGGAAAGAGCATTATTACCACAATATAATAAATCACAGTAAACTATGTTCAAATACACTTTAGGGTCTAACAAACTGGCAAAAGCAAGCTAAATCAGATCTAAAACTGAAAAGGTAGGAAAAGGGGTTTTTTTTGCTGATATATTTAACTTGTACAAATTACTCACATAATATATTTAAAGCTTAGAAGAAAACTTGAGCAAAGACAAAATGGTAACAGGCTCTTGTTCATACTCCCTTGTTCTCTTTGGCCAGTAAAGTTCTTTATGCTAAAATACATACTTCTCATTTCATGTGAGTTGTTCTCCTTCTATTTAAAAAAATCATTGAAAAGAATGATTCCCTCTAAACCTAAGCACACAGCCCATGAACACAAACAGCAATTTATGGGACTGTTCAGAATAGTCTTTTTGTACTAACAGCTCACACAAATGCTTGTAAATAAGAACTATATCATTAGTTATATAGCACAATAAAAATGTACTCTGGCAATTTTAAAAACTCTTAAAACACTTATCAATACACAACAATCAAACAGGGTTCAGAAGGCATGGTCTGGGTTTAACCCCCCAGAGCACATAATAAACAATGACAGAGCAACAGTGATTAAGGAAAGCAGGGCAGCCAAAACTAGAACTCTAAGTCCTTGGGGAGGACGGTGAGGAGCCAGTGATGGAGAACCAGTGAATGTAAGAGTGGGAGAGAAGGAACTGCTAGTTATGCTGATGTTAATATTTCTGGTGTTGCATCTGGGAGGAAGTATCAGACAGACTGGCTGTGATGTGTGGCTGGATTAAAGAACACAGGTGAGAGGAATGCTGGAGAGTTTGGAGAGTAAGCAGCTCCAAGTCTCCTGCTGTGCTCTCTTTCTACCTAGACTTGTATTTGCAGTGCAAGTGAGTCAAACTTCAAAGCATTTCTTATTATATCTCTCCTGGGTGCAGGAACATATTCATGTCCCAAAATACTGCTGAGGAACACAGACCTGATGAAATTAGCTATCTTCTTTAATACTACTGACAAAACAAGATGAAGAATTAGAAATGTTTTGCTCAGCAACCGCTAAAACTTTTGAACCCTCTTTTCAATCTTCTGCAATGCTTCCACTCTTCCTTCATCTTCAGAAACCTTGTTGTCAAACAACTTCATCACTACACACAGTTGACTCCTTCACTCATTTAATTGGGGACTTACCAAAAAGCAAAACCATAATGAAAGAACAGTTCTTTCCCTGGTTACCTCTACTATTATAAATGAGTAAATCGCTGTAGATAACACCCAAAGCAGTTATAGCTCTGAAAGATTTCGCAACGCATAGTATGTGAACAAAAACACCATAGCCATTACAGTGCTCTTAGTGGTTACTTCACTCAGAAAACACCACAAATAAATAACATAGGGCCCTGAGTGATTCTCTGAAACACTGAGGAGGACAGAAGATGATTCCATCTTAGGAATATTCATAGTCTGACTGTGCTTAATATAAATGAGGGCAAAAGTCCTGTGAAATAAATGATCGTTAATGCAGAAGAAAAGAAGAAAAAAAATTAATCTAATTCCCTTATGGAATCTGTAGACAAACATACAAGCTTTAGGACTACCAAACTGACAATAAAACTACTGTGTAAGCAACATGAGAAGGTAGGTATCTTACCTTCTTCTACAGTTACATTCCCTCTGAAGAAATATTTTCCATGTCCTCTAGAGAGAGCCACACCTAAACTGTGCAAAGAAATAAAGCAGACCTTGAAATCTGTGAGACAAACAATAGCAGACATTCAGAGCTATTTTCATTTCTAACATTTCCAGTTAGTGTACTATGATTAACTTGAAAAACTGCTTGTTTCCAAACCCTCACTGATCATATTTATTGTTCAATGCTATTGCTTCAATGCTGTTTCAGTTCTGATGTGCCTGCAACAATTGGCTGTATTTATGTGTGCTTAGAGGTGCAGTAAACCATTATTCTCTGGCAAACTAATAAATGACCCCTCTAAGCTCACTGCTGTTCACCCAGCATGAGATTTCTTCAGCTGAGCCTTGAAAATGTCCATGGCCTTACAATGGAGACAATTTTTGTAAATCAGACTAAGCTGTTGAGAAACTGCAGAAGTGTGGGAATTGGTAGAGCTACTGAGAGGAAAACAATTTCCAATGTGACAACAGCATCATGACTCCTCTTAGACTAATCTTTCTGTGATTCAGATTTTTAGCTTATATATATCTTCTGTATTGATTCAGCTTCATAAATTCTCTACAGTTACATACCTTGTTTTCATTTGGATTTCAGTCTACCATTTAAACTACCCAAGTTTAAGGAACTGGCTGAGGAATTCCATGCCTCTTTCTACTGAACACATCCACAGAATAGCTTCTGGTATTCATTCATTCAAGGGGATTATCTCAGGCTAGGAACCTGCCAGTAATCAGTAAGACTGAAAATGTATTGGCTGATATTTGAAGTATATGTGGAGTCACCAAATCCAAGAGTACACAGGCTGCAATCAACAGCTCAATATGGGAAAGGGATGAACACTAAACATCTTTGACACTAGAGTGTATGTTTTAATATATGGTGTCTTCCCAAATCTATACTACAACCCATCAAAAGTAGATACATAACACATTGAAACAACCAGGACAGCTTTCCAACTATATTTTCTGTCCTCAGCATCATAACTCCTACTGCATGCAGATATGTAGCCCCATATCTGTTTTCTGAATAGGCCAAGAATGGCAGTGCCACAGAAACATGCAAATAAAAAACCACAACAAACAAAACTACACACAAAAAAAAAAAAAAAACAAAACAAAAAACCAACCAAACAAACCCCACCACAAAATAAAAACAAAACAAAAATCCCACTACTACCACCTGTGTGTGGATTTTAACATGAATAAGTACATGCATTAGAAGTCAGAGAAATGTGTTAATATTTTCTCTTTGTGGTAATGTAGCTCAGGTTATGTGAAACAGTTCCATTGAAGAAAATTTCAGTTGAGTATGCACTGCTGTCCTCCTGCTTTAAGTGTAAGGTATAGGTAGTATTCTTTTAATAATCAATTCTTTCTAATACAAATATGAGCATTTTTAAGTGACTTCCTGTCTTTCTTTTACATTTTTTTTCTCCTAAAATGCTCACCAAAATTACCAACTTATTCAGTTTTAGTCATAGAAATACACTGAAGGTAGTTCAGAGAAAAAAACCATCCAGACCTCAAATTGGAAGTGAAATACTATCTCATTTTACATTACATTCTTGTTGTGGAAAAAAAAAATCAAAATGGGGCTCAATATGTAGTTACTTAAATGGATTATAGTATTTATAGCTCTCCAAGTACTTGCGAAAGCCTTTCGTTCAATGTAAACCTCAACTGAATATTTTTTCAATGAAATGTAAGCCATGACAAACACTGTGAGTTTGCCTGTGTGAGCTTGCACAAACTTTCCATCCCTGGAAAAGCTGAAAGGAACACTGGTAGGCTCCTTTTCCTTGCTATTTTCAGCATTGTCCAGGGATATTTCATTGTCAGCTTTTGCTGATGAGCTTTTAATGAGTTCACAAGCTCTGTATAAGCACAAATCCAATGAGTCAGATGAAACGTCCATTTATTATGGTCGGCTCTACCTGAATGGAGTCCCCTTGATGTCTGTATAATAGTAGTCATTTGTCATCACCAATACCCGCTTCTAAATTCAGAACAAGAAAGTCAGAAAGGTAGGGGGGAAGAAGTTAGTTTGCTATAAGAAATGTATAAAAGATCGAGTGGTTAATCACTGATAAAATTACAAACAATGTTTACATTCAGTGAGCGAAAAATAAAACACTGTAGTGGAAATGGAATAATATTTTAGACATTGTACCCCTTTGTCCACTGTCTTCTTCACTTCCATAGAGAATTTACCAGTTTTCCGATTCACCATTGCATTTCGGAGCTGAAACAAAGGAAATGTGTGTCAATTCCTTTATTTGCATTTTGTGTAATTCTTTTAACGCTGAGCTCACCAACACCTTCATTTGGCCTAAGGTGTACTCAATTTTCTTCATTTCTTCATTATCAGTAAATCTACTACACACTGAAGAACCCCCTTATAGATTTTATTATTGACTGTATAGGCCAAGAATCCTGCCATACCATTTTAGGCATGTTGCTGGGGTACCTAAGGTAGGAGCTCTCAGCATCCTTCATAGTAAAATAGCTTTGTGGAGTAATCTGGATCTTATGTGGGATGAACAGTGTAACTGATGACTGTTCTGCAATTACTGCATGGAAAGGTAAGGACTAGGTTCCCAGTTAGATTTAGCTAACAAGTAACATCAGGGCTCAGTGTTTAAATACATCAACAACTACACAGATAATAAAGCAAAAAAAGAGAATCCCCACTCGCCCTACACTAATTATTCTGCTTGAGAATCTATATTGGGCTGCATCCTAAACTAGCACCTAACTGAATCAGAAATTAGAACTAGCCCATGAAAACCAGCAGGACAGCCCATTGGATCAGTAACCTGTTTCAATGGGAACACACAGCTGCAGTGCTCTGGGATTCCCTCTGGTTGCCCACTGGTGTCCAGGAGTCCCTTGCAAGGTAATAAATTTTAGCTATGTAATGGAAGCCCTAGGTCAGTCACAGCTTTAAGAATTGGCCTGAACCTCTCAAAGTTGTCCAAAAGGCATTTTATATCCCTTTAAAAACAAATTTCATTAATATATAAACCAAAAACTCAGAGCAGCTAGGGAAAACAGAAAATAAATGGAAAAGGTTTTATACACAATGATTTACCTGCTGCCCTGGAAGTTAAATCGGTTACCTTTTACATTACCACAGACACTGTTTTACTGTAACCTTTTTCTGGCATCTACATGAGCTGCAAGTTCCCAAATCTGTGCTGCAAAGTCCCTTGGCCATCACCTCTAAAGACTCAGCACATCCAGTTGCTCCCTAGGAAAGAAAAGCCTTCCTCCCAGAGGACACATGCCCCATGATGGTGAAAAGAAGAGTAAAAAACCCCAACAATCATCACCCAGGTCTACAAGTCAAAATGCCAGGCAGTGTCTCTAATGATGAGGACAAGCTAACCTGGCAGAGCTGGTCTGAGGACAGGGTGTCAGGGCTGAAACTGAAGAATGACAAGACAAGTTTTTTGATGAATGCTCAGCCTTAGGGTTTTCAATTTGTCTGTTTATCAGTTCAGGACTTTAGGAATGACATAAGAAAGTTATTGTTTGAGAGTTACACCATCCATATATGGAAATATTTTATTTGAATGCCCTTAGACTTACTAATGGAAGAAACAAGTTATTTTGCTTGTTGTGGTAAGAAGCACCTATAATTCTTTTGCAGCTGTAATTTTAATTACAATATGATAATTCCACTATCACTAATCAATTCAATATTCAAAATGCAGAAAAATATTGACTGAGTATTTTTAAGTCTCTTCTATTGCTTATCTATCTGAATGCAATTTTGGATATCAGGTTCTTGCTAAATAAAAATCTCATGTTCTACATAACCTCATGCCAGATTGGGCAATTCAGTCAGCTTTTAATGAAAAATTGCAAAGATAGATATATCAATGCACTCTGCAGGCTTTCTGACATAGTATGGAGTGAAAAGAGAATGACCAAACTTGCCAGTGAAATATCTGGTTTTATTCTCATGAACAAGTTCAGCCTGACTGACCTATCAAAAACTGCAAACTTTGCAGCTCTTTAAATTTAATTCTAGGGCATCTAGATTCGAATTAACAGTCTTACTCTTCTGTCAGTGAGTGTAAAAGAATAATTTTTAGCTGGAGGCATATATAAAATAAAGCATATATTTTACTGTAGATTTTTTTTAACAATACATAATAGGCAATTCTGGAAATAGTTTCCTATTTTAAGTCTTGTGGTTTTGGACTTGGAGAGCTGGTCTTAATTAACCATCTACTTTCTAACATTTACAGAACAGTTCCATTTATCTTTAACATGGTTTTCATTTTTCTCCTTTTGGTGCCTGTAGTTGTCTAAGACCCATTCCTCCCAAAAGCCTCAGGCAAGTCATAGATTACTAAAAGGATCTCCAAACTCTCGGTAGTGTTTAAGATCAAGTCTGCATGTGGGATTTAGAGGGGTTTTTTTGGGTGTTTTTGCTTGCTGTGATTGCATTTCTTGGGCTTGTAATCTGGTTTTTCAGCTCTTCTGCAGTTTCATCTCCCTTCTTAAATGCATAAAATAAGTACTGCCTCAGTTGGCTTAAAGCCCCAAAATATTCATTCATGGTCTTTTTTATTTGGAAAAAAAATATTTCATTCAGCTAGAAATTGTAATAAAAGAATTTTCAGTGAGCTAATGAGAAAAACCTTTCTATTCAAATTGAAACTTCTCATCTTTGGTACTGCATATTTGTAAACCTTGATGGAAGACACTGTCAGCTTAACAAGCTGATGCTAAAAATTCTGTTTTTAATAAAATGCATTAACAGCAAGATAGCAGGTATTGTTAGCCTGGAAAATGAGCTGATATATTTATGGAAACACTATTTCATGATGAAAAAACTTCTAACCTTGTTTTACTTACCTTTTCCTAATTGGATCACTAGAGAAAGCCTAGTTCTTCACCTCTTCAGAGTAATAAGCATTATTGCTCATTCAACTAAATATCTTCCAATCAATTGCTAACAACTCAGTTTCACTGCTGTAGTATGAGATCATTCTATATTCTTGGAAAACTATGTAACCATTAAATTAATGTGGTAAAAAGTAACAAAATGTCTTAATCAGCTTCCACATAAGTGTTTCATGGGAGAAAAATATACCAGAAGTAGTCTATCTTATTAAAAGCAGCTATATGAATAGCTGCTTTCCCTCTACAGTTGAATAAACAATGCTTTACTACCCAAGCTTGGAAAAAACCAAGAGCATCAAATCCAAAGCCTTGAGGGAAACAGAGTCACATGTAGTTTGTTTCTATATTACAACTAAAAATTTATTTTTAAGAAACAATTTTTTAGGTGAAAGGCAGAGTCAGATAAAACGTATTCATCAAAATGTGAAAACAATTTTTGCAGCCTCAAAACTGTAAAAAGTTTTGACAAAACTCAATTTTCCTTAGAAATTTTCAGAAATAGTGACACAGTTTAGGAGTCTCAAATAAAGGAAATACTTAGAGCAGAATCTGGACTTTGATGTGTATTCAGATAGAATCTCAATCATCAATAAACCTTTATTTTCAAGGGCATTGAAAGAGTTCAACGTTACATTAACCGAACCACTGAATTTCTACTAAGATATGATTAAAACAGAGGGATTAAAACTAAAAGTTAAGCAGAGGAAGTATAGGAAGAAATGGGAGGGGGGAAGAGAACAAGCCAAAGAAAAACAGCAATAAGAAAATATCACGAAGGTTCAAAAACTACATGTAACTACAGCAACAATATTTGAAAGGACAGTGGAAAATTTAAAAGGTCATTAGCAGAAAAACTGGTTGAGTAATAGGTGATCAAAGATAAGAGAGAAAGCTAGGTATAAAACATGAAGCCAATGAGACTGCCAAGATTGCAGAAGGCTGCTACAGTATATGAAAATCTAATGAGGAAACCTTAAATAGTGTGTGCATAGAAAACTTCACAAAGCTATACAAACATTAAAAAAAGTTTGTGTGTGCACTCCAATACAAAACTTTAACTAAGGAAGTAAGATGGCCTCCAAGGAGAGGCTGAGGACAATCTATCACCTGATGAAACAGACGTTGCTTAAAACATAGATGAACTGTTTCACTATTCACAAAGGGGTGGAGAGAGGGAGGAATGCAAGATATATATTTTGTAAGGGAGAAAGAAAATACAGACTTATGTCAGAACAGGGATCAAGAAATTAGTACATCTGAAGACTGACAAGACTCCAGGGGCTGTTGTACGTGATCCATCCCAGATTTCGGAAGAACATGACAAAGTAAATATGGGAACCTTCAGTGGATATTTTCAAAACCTCTCTGGAAAAGTAGAGGTATGAGGGACTTGAGAGAAGCTAACACAGTACTGATATTTGAGAAGGGATTGAGGAGACATCTATGAAAAATACAGACATGCAGTCGTGACTTTGGCAGTAGGGAACTTATGGGAAAAACTAAATTACAGGACAGAAAGGGGAACACCTGGAAAGTTACGATTTAATTAAGGACAGTCAGCACAGATTCACACAAAACGAATCATGCCTAACAAATCAGATTTATTGAGGAAGTGACAGAAAGACCAGGCAAAGGTTAAGCCATGGCCATAAGGAAAGCTTTTGATACAGTACTGCAGAAAAGGCTAAGCCTGAAAGGTAAGAAAGAATAAGATGAAGATTGAACTAGAGAGTAAATGGAGCGCTGAAAAAGGAGGTTAATGGAAAGCATTGTGTACATAACAGCTGATAGACACAGAACACAGGCTTCTGCAGCTACCCATGTGTCAGAAATTAGGAGTCTGGAGTGAAACAGTACTCTACACAGAGGTCAAAGAATCCAATTTTGTTTATTCATCTGAAGATTTTTGGTTCTGTGCATTGAGTAAAACAGCTCTCATTACTTCCATTAAGGAAAGAGGGATCTCATGGAAAGAAGTTAAACTCATTCTTTCATTTCTGAGTTTTAGCAGTTGTCTTGGCCAGCCCTAAGGAGACATTCTATTCCTGTCTCTAGTGCTATATTTCCTATCCAGCAAAAATACACAATGGGATGCATGGAGAATGCAAGGGTGATGAGATTTACCAAAGATACAAAGAGTCTGTGTTTGTGGTATAGGCATATGTAAGGAAGAAACAATACAAAACAGCTATAAAATTCTGACTGAAGTACAAGGGTCTATTGTCCTTCCCTTCCTGAGAGCTGTCAGGTGGCCTCTCTAATGACTACTTAAGCAGTTTCCAGGTACAGTAGTGGGATGCAACAATGCCTTCTGACAGGGTTTTAAAACACATCACTTACCACATCATCTCTGTCTTCCCACTCGACCTCAGACAGATCCACACTACTGTAGTTAGGCTTTCTTCGTTTCTTACCCTCTTCATACTGGTATAAAAAAAGTGAAATATTTACCACATCCTATTTTATTTGCACAATGATTTTGCACCAGAAGATTTAAAAACTTTGTGGATGCATGCTGATTGTATTCAATACACTTAACAGTAGGTAGCTTAATTCAAACAAAGTACACCTTCCTGCTGGATAAATGTTCCCTGTGAACTAAAAATCTACACCATATAATTATTTGCATGATCTCTTGCCATGAGGGACACACTGAGAAGTCAAACTCGCAGTTGTACCTTCTTCTCTCCATGTGGAAAATACACGAGACCTTGGATCTTGGAGTTTATGTTAAATGTCCCAAACAGGCTCTTTCAGCTGTACTGGAAGTTATATTTACTCTAATCTTATCAACAAAATGTTTACCCATTTCACTTTAAACAAGATAAGATGCAAGTCTTGGAAAGTATGGTGTTAACATTTGCTGATACTTCATTTTATCTACAAGTTCATGGGGGAAAAAGTAACATACTAATAATGATAATGTGTGGGGTACTCACTGTTACGCTGTAAATTGCACATTTAAAATAAACATTCTAGTGACAAATTGATTTGACACCGAGGTGTTTATAATGTGGGAAACTCTGCCCTCTGCTGAACATTCAAAATCAGAGAGCCTACTAGTGAAACCACACAACCCTGGCTCAGTGGAAGAAGAAAGCATTTAGGAAATAAAGAACCTAACAGGTTAAGAAAAATTAGAGGACAATATTTGGAAAAAAATATAAATCTGAAAGAGCATCAGGATAATGTGAAATCTGGTCTTTTATCTTATATGATGCAGATCAGTGGGAGGGGAAACCACAAGTCTTTCTACGAAGTATGACAGGAGACAGTGGGATGCTGTGAAAAATCCCCAAATTACTTTTGTGGCTTTTCGATGACAGCATCACAGAAGGCTACAAAATGTACCTGTAAGGCAGTATAGATAGCTGATTCTCTTCCCTCAGGGCAGGACCAGCTATACCATAAACCAAACCTGTCAGTGTTTGAGACAAGCAATTCATCACCAAGGCCAGTGGTGCAGGGACTTTAAATCACATTCTGCAGATTACAGGGAGACCAAGGGAAAAACTTGCTCTCTGAGCATTAAGAAGGTTATTCCCATCCTGACATTTTCCCTCTCTAAATTAAAAAATCTCATGTGAATCACACAGTTGCTTTTGGAAACCAAAATAGGCATGATGAAATCTTCCAGAAGAACAGTAAACTTTATAAAATATTGAGTACAGCATCATAATCACAAAAAGATTTTGAGATATTGGTAGCACTGTAAAGTTCCTTGTAGCACAGGCTTCACCGAGCTTCCTTAATTTTTGCTCATAATAAATTGGATACTCCAATTATTTCTACAGATGATTCTTCTGGGAAATTCTGTGGGATAAAATCCGGAGTCAATTCTCATTCTTTTGAATAAAAAAATTCTAGCAACTCTGTAGGTGTAAGTCATAGATTAAGTTCTGAGAATTGATGCAGATGCAATTGAAGGGCACTTCATCTGCTTTTCTTGCCCCTCTGCTAAAATCCACCATTCTAACAACTTCTGCTTTCAGCACATGCTTATGCACTAGACTTTGAATTCAAGCAACTCAGTTCTATAATTGGTTCTTTCTACATGGCAGCTCTCATAGCCAGAGAGATAACTATACCCAAATAATGAATACAAAATTTGCAGCCAATATAGTTAAATCTCACAAGAATAACACATGAGAGGATAACATCCCATTCATTAGCCGAGGTAGATTTTTGTAGCTATGTTTTGCAAGTCTTTCATTATGGCTGCAGCTATATCAATATTATCTTTAATCTTCACAAGGAATAACTACATCTACTCTCTGTGGTTGCACCAATTAACCAAACAAATCTTTGATCTGATTTAGTCATTCTAGTAAAGAAATGGTTACATTACAGACAAGCTCTGAAATGCTGAGAGCTGGAGTGTTACATAGAAGTTAGCTGGGATCATCTGAGTAGAGCAAACAGCTCCTGTACTGGTTCCAATGTTTAATTGCATCCTTATTCACAGATGTTGAAGAGCTTCTGGGCTATACTGCATTCTCAGACACATGTGCAAATCCTTACTTTGGACAATAGAAGTTGATCTTGTGTGTCTGACAGCAGAAGTAGGCTTCAAACATAAGGCAAATCATTTGCATCATACTGACTATGGGGCTTGTATTTATTTTAGTCATATAGAATCCACACCTTGCACTTGGAGAGCAAGAAACAAAAACCAAAAGCAATCAAATGAAGAGCTGGAAAAAACATACAAAGTTTTGCAGAAAAACCAGAATTGGAAGCATTCATGTCTTTAAAATTCAGATAAGCAGAAACAAAGCCAAAATCTCAATCCTCAAGCGAGAGTTAGGCTCTATAAGCATTCAAAGGAACTGAAAGTGCAGTTCATTTAGGACAGGAACTAATAAAATATTGAAATGTCCAACCTCTAATTCATCAATTACACTTTAGGGGCTACTGTTTAATTGCCTACACAGGAATTCAGTAAGTGAAGAATAGATTTATGTTATAGTTCAGAAAAGAGCAGCAGAGGAAACAAAACTCAACTTCCAGGAAGGATGGGACAACAAAAAAAACACAAACCCAGAATAAAAGGCAATTTCAAAACTCAACTTCCAGGAAGGATGGGATAACAAAAAAAACACAAACCCAGAAAAAAAGGCAATTATTTGTACATCTGGGTAACTTTGCTTATAAATCCAATCTTCATGAAAATATCACCTTATATCCAGCAGTAAATATACATATCTTTATGCTAATATAACTGGAGTGTCAAACATAAATGCAAATAGATCCCATATCAAGTACTTCATAACTGTACTGTTGAAATGGCCATTCTTCTCTAGTTTCTTTCTAGTTTCATTACTTAACTAATTTCTTAGTGAAAATTATTCATGAACACAGTAGCAATTCCCCAGCTTTTAAAAATGGCATTCATCTATATCTTCTTCGCTGGTAGCAAACCTAATCTAACCTTTTATCTCTGAGGCTCCTGGGTGAAGTATAAAATACTGATTGAATGCTGAAGCCAAACCCATCTGTAAGATTACTATAAAACATTGAAACAAATCATTAAGAGACCCATTGGGAAAGAGAGAAAATAGGAATTCTACCAAATTACTGTGATTTAAGTGCATGAGAAAAAGAGCTACATTTAAAATGTGTGCTGTTAATCTACTCTGGCTAGTATAAATCATGTGGTGATACTATATAGTAGTTAACCCCTGGGAGGGGAAAAAAAAAGATACTGAAAAATGTTAAATATCTGGACTGCAACAGAAGAATCTTTTAGTCTGCTCAAAACTACATAATGGCTCCAACTTATTGTTGTGTGTCAAAAGAACACAGGATTTGTTTTAGTAATCAGAATGAACTTTATCTTACTCAGTATCTTTTATTTGAGGCTGGGCCAAACTCTTATAGCATTGAATGATTCAAACAACATGTGACGTGTACTGTTTAAAGACTGAATCACATTTTTTCACCACCCCCTATACAACCATTTACATGTGCCATTATTAAATGCTTTGCTTTGATTTTACTTTTTTCTAAAACACAACCAGTCCCAAACCATCTGCATTGAATACTACCAGCCACGTGTTTATAAAGTCAGAGTGTAGCAATCTGATCATGGAGAGAGCAAGCTACATCTTAACAGCTGCAAGTCTTGGGTCTAAGGTGATTGGAATTTCCCAGACGTGCTCCATCTGGATAAAGGGGAGGTAGGAGAGAGTAAGTTGCTGTGATAGCAGCCTTGGAAGCATCACTAGATTTTACCAAACTTGCTTAGCCACACATGTGAGAAAATATTATAGTAAGAAAGTGTGTATTAAATAACAGCAAAAACCTAGACAGGTAAAACCATTTCAAGGGATAGCTCTTGCTTGCCAAACTACTAATATGTACAAATGTAAGAAATGAGGTACTGAAAAAACTCCTCCAATTTTAGTATATAGCATCACTCATAGAAGTTCCATCTGTTTGAATTAGTACTTCAAAATTCAGATAATCTATTAGCCTCAACATGATTTGAGAATGATCCCCTGTTTTTTGTAGAGAGGAGATAAACTTGAACATGAAAAAAATATGTTTTATTGAGCTTGAATTCTACATAGTAAAATACACAACACTACCATATGTTTTACTGTAACTCACATTAAACCATCCCATAAAGGCATTCTGGTCTACAAAGTTTGATAGGAAAGCTTGAATGAACAAATATCAGAGGAAAAGCATAATTAACTAAAATTACATACTTTTCCGTACAGTTTTAAATAAACAGACAGAGATTGAATACACTGTCATTATTCAATTCCCTGGTCTAGCCAGTTACTCACCTACCTCCCTCCTCTAAGACCCTGGACACTAATGTGACCCCTTACTTACTGTCTAGTGTAGCTTTGACTGATGTCATGCAAATCCTGCAGCTGTTTGATTGGAAACTGCATTGAACCTGACTTCACATGGTCAATGCAACGGCTGAGACCTTCACCAGCCATCCCAGCAGAAACTGCTCCTGAGTCACACCTCTCCCTACGGATAGGACTGTGCCAGGGGAAAGCTCAACTTATCCCAACTTTGCAAGCAGAATCACTTGTTTCTGTCACGAGTCCTTCAAGTGTGTCTTCTTTTCTCTTTGCATAGAATAGGACAGGAGTCTGTTGCTGCTTCCTTTCCTGGCTCCAAAGGGGGGTATGTTCCTGAGTGAGGCTCTTCAAGATGAGCCATGCTACTCTGCTATGTTAATGTGCACAGAAAGGGGGGGGGGGAATTTCCTTCCTACTTTTCAGCAAGGATTGCAATAATTCCAAAATGCATATTCCTTTAAATATGGTTTAAATCTTTCAACATTAGTCCATTAAAAAAAGAACACTTTTATCAGGAAATTCTTAGTGTTTAAATACTACGGGACAAAGGAGTGATAATGGAAAACAGAGTGGAAGATCAAGAGTAGACTGAGGATGAGATCA